AAGACGGCTTTCCAAAACCCGGATCCCCTGTCCACGACAGCACGACGTAGCGAAAGCTCCATACGTGAACTCTGCAGACTGGCAATAGCACTGCGCTATTACGGCAGCCAACCAGCTATCAGTTGTTTCCCCCCATATGACCTTCCAATATTCAGGGCTGGACCTGTTTGATTTGAAACTTGTAATGTATCCCGGGCGAAGCTCAAGCCACGACACCGAGGAGCGTCCAGATGTGCTTTTAATGGCGCCTGGAATTGCAATGCCCGAGCACCCGTCCCGTGCCCCAGGTCCGTGCTCTTGAAAAACGCGGGATAAGCGCGTGTGCCCGGTGACGCCATCTCTTGGCCACCAGCGGATACATGACACTTCCCCCTCACTTGGCTGAGAACCCGAACCTTTCTGGCGGCCGTCGCACGCGAGTGCTGGTGCGTATGATCGGCTGGGTGGAACATGAAGGTCCTGTAGGTTGTGTAGGAGGTCCTCGGTGTCGTGGCTTGAGCTTCGCCCGGGATACATTACAAAACCTATCATTATCTTCCAACATCACTAGCTCAGCTATACCAGGGCCGCTGCCTCTACACACCAGGAAACGGGCAAGGTCGAAGTTATATCTCTGTTGCACGTCCCCAACAAAGCCCTCCATCCCTTTCAACGTAGCAGAGCGACCGCGGGAGAGGAGGGCGAGACGGAAGCGAGGAGGGACTCGACCCCCCCCCCCCCCCCCCCTTCTTCCCCCCTTCTCTTCAGCGTTCACTCTGCTAAAGTAGAAAGGGTGGAGCTCCCCCGTGGTCGTGGAAAGAGGAGATTTTGCTTTTTACCCAGGCAGCACAGACACGCCGACAGAACGTTGATAACTTGTGATTTGATCAGCCTTTCATATAATGTATCTTACGCAAAATGTCGAGGGATTCTCTCCTGCGTCCCAAGGAATTCCTTGCTGAGAATTCTGTCCGGGTGATATCCTCAGCTCGCACAACCTCGCTGCTAATGAAAAAAAAAAAAAAAAAAATTGCTAACGGCCGCGCAAAGTGTGCTGCGATTGACAGCGGCGGCTGTTACGATGCTGAAAGATGTGCTTTAGGAGATCTGCTCTGAGGTTATTTGCTTCAGAAGCTATGCTTGCGGTATAATAGGTGACATTCACTTGACGTCACTCGCTAGGTTCGCTGCCATCGCCCACCACGGTCGCCATCTTCGAGGTCTCTTGCTATCGCGAATGCCATCTGGCCGGACCTTTTGAGCGTGGTTTAGCAGTATTTTACAACTTTAAAGGGTCTTTTTGATCGAAACTAGGGGCTATTCTTATACTTCGGTGCTTTTGAATCGCCGTGGGAGTGTTTTTTGTGTGTTTTAGTTCGTTTTTGTCGCTATCGGACTCGTTTACCGCGGCCGCGTAGCTCCCTCGGCTTCATGAAGCGCTCCGTGTCGCCCGCCGTGCCGACGGCGGTAGCTGTTGCAAGAACTAATTTTTCTACTTTGGTGCTTTTGTAGCACGGTGTGATTACTGTTTGTTTTGTTTTGCTAGTTTCTTTATTGTTTTTCTCTAGCAGATTTTCTGTACTACGGCCGTGTAACCGTGTTGCTCCATCGCCGCTCTGTCTGTCGTACATACGTCGTGCCTTCGGTGTTCGTTCCTGTGCAGAAACATACCGTGCGGCTCACAGAGTGCGCAGCTTATGAAAAATGCGGCGCATTTTTCATTAGCCCAAGCGATTTAAAAACCGCATGTAAGCGATTTGGCGAGCGGGAAGACAAGCGACGACGACCCGCTTCGCTGCCGCTCGGTCACTCGCGCGACGAGGCAAACCGCATGAAAGCCACGGGAGCACACGACCAAGGCGATGAGCGCTAAGTTTTCTAGAAATCCCAAAGCCGAGCTTCGCGACGAGTGACAGTGAAGGGTGAACCGCATGTAAGCGATTTCGCGAGCGATGGCGACAGCGACGGGAGTCGGCGACGAGCGACAAAGATTTCTCGCGATCGGTCGTCGCGTCGCTCGGTTTTTGGATTTCTAGAAAGGGTCGCTTATCGCCTTGGTCGCATGCTCCCGTCGCTTTCATGCGGTTTGCCACGTCGCGCAAGGGACCGAGCGACAGCGAAGCGGGTCGTCGTCGCTTGTCTCGTCGCTGTCGCTCGTCTCGTCCCGTCGCTCACCAAATTGCCTACATGCGGTTCAGCCTTTACACACGGTACTCGGCGGCAACAAGGAAAACGGCCCGCCCCCGAGACCAACTTTTCTTCTCTCTTCTGTTCAACGAAGCTTCAACGATATTAAATTAGCACACACTAGCAGCGGACGACCGCGTAGCGTACCCAAGCCAGTCAAACCGAGACCTCGAAGATGGCGGATCGACGGTGGCGCTCCCTGGCAAAGTCGAACCTGCAGGCTCAGTGAATACCACCTATAGTTGTTGGGGATGTGCTTTAGGAGATGTGAGATAGGGAGTGCCACAGATGACGTGGCGAACTCCCTCTCTCCCCGCGATCACGTGGGGTTTTGCGTTCGAACACCCCCGTTTTTTGCAGGAGAGGGGCACTCAGTTACTAGTGTAGAAAAGCGATTCCGACAGACGGCCGGAGACTCACGGTCAGTGGAGCGTCCCTCGGAACCAGACATGGCGCCCGCAGCGTGTCCTCAACGAGGGACGTCGGCCGGGCTCTTGATCCGGAACCAGGGCCTGCTGACTGCGGTGCCCGCGCTTGCTTCGACCGCCTCTGCAGCCGGTGTTCTCAAGACCGCCTGCCGGACTTCGCGTGGCCCTTGTGCGAGGTCACGCGCGTCAGCGCGTCATCGAGCATCGAGACACCTATGCGTGCTGGCACGCGAGGCAGACTCGTGTTGATGTCACAACGGCTGCCGTTTTGGTGACTTTGATATTGATATTAATCTTAGCTCAGGAGAGCCGCGGCACAGCAGAAAGGCAGGTCCCCCGTACCATAACTCGGTGGCTCCGAGGCGAGAGCGCCGGCCTACGGATCCCCAGGTGGCGGGTTCGAATCCCGACCGAGGTGCCCGCAATATGACGGAGGCTTATTGCGGAGAAGGCGCCGTGTGTAACCGAGCTTTCGGTTGCACGTCAAAAGATCCCCAGGTGGTCCAAATTAATCCTCAGTCCTCCGCTGGGGCGTGCCAGATGCCCGTCGTAGGTTTGGCGCGTAAAACCCCCAAATTTGACCCCGTACCATAACGGCCCGCGGCGTCCCGTATGATGATGATGATGCAATGGTATTAGATGACAGAGAAATGGTGATGACGGTTCAAGTGGAGCTACACGTCAGCCGATCCTAAAACCCCTTGATAAAAGTGTTTTTTTTTAATTTTTTTTTTATTTTTACAAATACCGCCAATCATTGTTGTGGAAACGCGCAACACACGTGCCACGAGCGGGTGCTCCGCCGCCATTCACTTCCGAGGGCCGCTCATTAAAGCTCTCCATTCTGGGAAAAGTGGCGCCATTCATTGTTGAAGAAATGCTCGAGGCACGTGCCTCGCAAATTCATGACGTCTTAAATCCATGCAGCTCAGTGCTGCGCTGTGCCGCCATGATCTTCCCAAGCACTGCACCTTGCACGTGCCTCGTACATCGACGCACCTTGCGCTACTTTTGAAACACGAAGGGGCTTCACTCGTAGAGACGACGCGGTTTCCACACAGACGCGCATGCGCAAAGTGGGGCAGTTCGTCGGGGCGCGCTGGTCCGCGCTGGTCTACGCTGGACTGACCATCGTTCGGGCGCTTCTCGGCGCGGCGTAATGTGGCGTAGTGACCGACGGACGTCGGTCTGCGCCGGCGCGCGTTGCGTTCGTCGACCTTTAGTCTGCCTTCAACAAGCGACTTTTCTCTAACACATCGAGGGACTTTAGCCGAACCCAGCTCACCCATTGGACACGAGCACTGCGTCACTCGGACGTATGTGCTCGTCAACGATCAATCCGCCGGCCAATGAGTGCCGTGGAGGCGCTCATCATCACTTGCGATTGACAAGTTCCATGGTGTCCTTAAATACACGGTGGAAGCGTGGAGTAATCTATTGCCACTAAATAAGCTACGCTTCAGAGTAACGACACTTGGCCATATTGGGTCTTAAAATCATGGTTGCCAGTTGTCTGAAGCTTTATCTGAAATCACAGGAAACGCTTTTCTGCCTTCCACAAATGTTTAAACACTTCGCGACAGAGCAAAGCAATATTACAATATTTTCCTAACACTGAATCTTATGCTGAGGAAGTCGCACTTTTGAATCATGACGGTCGGCAGTTGCATCTGCTCTGCATACAAGCCAAAATGGCGGCGGCCACAACAATGTCGGGGAACGGAGTGCCGATACTCTAAGCGCAGCTCATTTAGTGGCTCTAGAGTCATCGTAGCCGGTGCCCAAGCCCGTCACGGCCACCTGATTTCTAATTTCGCTTTAAAGTTGAGGATTAAAGCTAAAGAAGAAGTTGAAAAAATAATTTTATGGACTCGTGCGTGCGTGTGTGTGTGTGTGTGTTTTTAAGAGAAAACTGAGACGTTGATCACTATCTTTGGCAAAGGAGCATATATCGTAATGCATGCTCATGATAGATTCCATAACACAAAGAAAGGAGAAAAATATTTATTGACAGGCGATGCAAACGGACTGAGGAATTCATACTTCTGTAGCAGGTATTTCAACCGCATGATCAAGAACAATGGGATATACGTCCAGAGATTTCGCGTGGCACGGCCTAACTGTGGAGTGCGGGAATCAGGGTCGATATCAACATAATATATAAAAGAACAACAGCCACACTTGCTTCATTTGTGTAGTGTGCAAATAATTCCCCTTTGAAAATTTCAAAACATAATTGAAAGCTTTTTAATGAGATAAAGGTTGGTTCTCAAACTTTACCATCTGGTTCTGACCCCTAGCGCTACTTCTGTGCGAAGATTGAGCATTAGGCGATACATAGTTTATTTTTCCGGTGAAAAAAATAACAACACAAAAACATAAAGGTTTGGGGGGGGGGGGGGGGGGGACACCCTGTATCATCATCTGAGCTAGTGGAACAATGAAATGATTAGCAATTGACCAGGTCTATATGAGAGTCCTGGTGGGGCGCGGTCAACGTATGGACGTGAGCGAGTAGCGGGACCGGTTGCCCTCTTCGTCGTCGGGTCGGTGCTCCCTGAGCAGGACGCACAGCATGGACGCCAAGGCCGTGAAGACGATCATGGTGGACGTGGCCATCACCAGGACGTCCTTCACGTCGATGCTCGTCATGGGCACGCACCTGCCGTTCGACGGCTGGAAGCCCTGCGACCGAGAACCAGAAATGGGGCCATGGCACAATCGAATATCGCCCACCCGAGTTTTTTCACCCTCTGTCTCTTGAGCGCGGAACTGGGATTTTACGAGTCTGGGGTTCTCGACTCGTCCAGAAGAAAGTTGGAACCGAATTAAAGTTGGCGGAGCGTGTCGATTGGACTTTGGCGATAAAAGCGTGGTGTCATCGCCCAATGGGCGCGCTCCATATAAACTTCGGCCCCAACTACGTGATTGGCGCGCCTATAGAGCTACCATCGCAGTGTCTTCGGAGTGGAGCGTGTCGGACACCGATGTCCATGTTGTGCCTGTGGTCAAACGCGTCCATTTTTGTACAATGGTGATCGCACTTTTTGCAAGCACTCGTTATTGAAACAAGGGGAGAAGATGGACTAAGTTAGACTTGTGCCTATCTTAAATGCTACACTCAAGATACTGTATTTCGAATACTTTTGGTGGTATTTCGGTAGCTTGCAAAGACTTTTCGTATAGAGTATTTACTACACTATCTTAACTACATTTCTCACTATCTTGTACTCGGTATCTCAAATACATTTTTTAACTTGCGAAAATATTTGTCGCCGGAAACAATCTACGGAACTATGCATCGTCAGACTCCAGGGCAAAGCTGAACCGATTGCAGACTTGGAGGCGAGCGACCGATCCCAGGACGGGAAACAAGGCACGAGCCAAACCGAATCTTCGAATGCCAACAAAGACCAAATGGATAACCCCAAGGACGCCCGCCTTTACGTGTCCTCCTGTCTGCTTTTTTTAAGTTGTTTTTGACTGGTACGTTACGCTTGGTGCTAGCAAAGTGCTAGTAACGTCGTCGGCATTTTACACTTTTTGTTTAAAGCTAGAGTGGTTTCGTCAGCGTAAGGTTGTGACGCCAACGCTTGAAACGGTCACAATGGGCCATTTTCAGAAATCGCTGGTTTAGGGGTTCTGGTATGAAAATGCGCGAGCACGTTTTCAAGTGAGCGCGAACGCTCCTTGCGCCAAGGAAGCTAGATCCTGCTGACTTTTTTGAGCTGCAGGGAACGGCTTTCACAATGCCCCGTCTGTACCTTTTTGACTTTGGCTCCCAAGCTCGTACAAACGCGTTATTTTTTCTTCCTCTTTTTATCTCCTTCCGAATGCACAAATTGTTTCATTCTCAGAATCCTCCAACCTAGTTTTCTGCCAGGTGGAGCGCCAGGTGGAGTCAGGGATTGAAAGCGGTTTTGTGGACACTCTCTCGTGTTACCCTCTTGACCTTCCTAATATTTTTCGGCAGTTTGAATGTACAGGCGCTCCTCCTCATCCTTGGCTGGGGAAACAAAAGACTCGTTCTTGGTTGTTGATCGGCGACAGGGCCTGCTGTCTTTTAGCCGATGTTTTTACTGAGCGTGCACGTTTGTCATTCCCTCGCGTATTCATCATCAAGTCTGGCTCCCTGATCAACTTATAGTTCGACTGTGAGGGATATGCAATGCCGGACTATGCACCAAGTCCTCCGAATCGCCTCATGCGTTATGAGCCTATACGCCTCGCAAGCGGGCTCATTTTTGTCTTCTGCGCATAAGAAAGGAAGTAGCGGTGACGTCAGAATGCCGAGCCCTGATTGGCTGATCGTGACCGGGCCCCTATCTCAGCGTCATCTGCTCCTTTGCAACGTCATCTGCTCGCTACATGGTCTGCGTCTGTCTTACCTTTTTTGCGACTTTCGGAAGTTCAGGTCTTTACGAGCGAGCTCGACTTCGCCTTTCAGAGGGGGCAGACGAAATAACTCGAGTCGAGCGGAACGTTGTTTTTGTCTAACAACTAGCAGACGCGCATCAAGAAGAGAAGTCAAAGGACTCACTGGCGAGGTGTCCCGAGGCGCTGAGGTTTGTTTGCTAAGAACCGAGAGGGGGTGAGCGTGTTAGTGTCCGCAAGCTTCCTCCCAAATACTTTTTCCCTCCTTTCGTGTGCGGCGAGACCCCTCATTCTTTAACGGCGTCGGCGAGTTGGCGCAGTTAACGTCGTCTGCTTTACGTCTGCTAGTCAAAGCGATGGCTGCTTTACCTTTCCTGCGTCTGTCGGAGATTCGCCGCTTTTTCACCGGCGAGAGTCACCGTGCCTCGGGAAACAAGGAGATAACAAGAGAAAGAAATTGACCTCTTAATCTAAAACGGAGGTCAGCGATCAAAGTATAATACGGGAAGGGTTCACAAGGGTTGCGCGGGCATATTCCATTCAGCACACCAGCCGGTCATGGGCATGACTCGCTGAGTCGCGGAGTGGCTGCTAGGCCTAACTGCCGTGCTCGCTTGGTCGCGTTCGGTGGAATCGTGGCCGTTGGAGCTTTTCCCGGGCGTTTGTGAATGCAGCGTTCTTGTTCGTCGTGGTCTGTTTCAAGTACTTTTTACTTTGTTCTTGCTGCTTGAAGTCGGGACGCGTGAGAAGCGCACGTAGAAAAATAAACGTCCGTGGGTCGTCGCGACCGCGGCGCTGTCAGCCATGCTGATTTGATCGCAAGAAGTGCGTAAGCAGCTTCGGAGCTGTCGTAGGATTTCGTCGTAACCTGCGCAAAACTTGCGAAAATTTTGTTTCGTGAATACGAATTTGTTCTTAAGTTATGTCTTACGCACATTTTTGGCGCAAGATCGTTTCGTGAATCTGGCCTCTGCACTTTCGAAAGTCGCAGGAAAGGTAAGATAGACGCAGACGACGTTGCGAGCAGACGACGTTGCAAGGGAGCAGACGACGCTCAGATAGGGGGTCGCGATCAGTCAATCAGGGCTCGGCGTTCTGACGTCACCGCTACCCCCTGCGCAAGAAGTAGACGAACTTGCCCTCCGCATAGTATACCCACCGCCTGGCATTTGCAGGCGTGCTCGACGCACAGCGCCATCTCGTCCCTGCACTGCGTGCCCCCGCCGCACAGGTAGCCCAGCTCGATGATGGCCTTGCAGCCGTCGCCCATGTCCGAGTGCCGGGGCCGGCACTGGCAGCGGCGTTGCTTGCACAGCGAGCGCGGGTCTGCCCGCTGGCACTGGTGCTTGTAGACGCACGACTGGTCGATCTGCCGCGGATCGTAGCACAGGTGGTAGAAGCTGTCGAAGCCCATGCCCTCCTGGCACGCCGGACAGCTGCGCTGCCGCAGAGGTGTCGTATATCAAATGGATGCATTTTACTGTTAAGTCAGCGCGCTGGGTAAAAACCTCTGAAAAAATTATATACGCCAAGGGATCGAGCACTGACAACCCTATACCGTTCTTCTCCGTGTGATTGTTTCGTTTGATTCATTTTGATCCTCAAATGCCCAGTGGCCTTGGCGGCTGCAGCTTCTGCGTGGTAGGAACGCTGCTGGACGCGCGAAAGCCTCGAGGTTTCCCCCCGAATTGGGAGCCCTGGGTGACTGCCGCCATCTATCGTCGTGGACAGCCTTCAAGAGAGCGGAGACAGCCGACTCTAATGTCTCTGCGAATCCGGTATCTCGGCGGCAGCGCCGTTTCCCTCGACGCAGCGCGGAAGTGTGGACGGTGCAGTGCGCATGCGTTGTCCCGGAAGCGGTCTGTCCCCACGGCTAGGGAAGGACTTTGGCGCTGTAGGCGCGCTGTCCATAGTGCAGATGAACGGAGTAAAATGGGTGACGCCGGGCGTGGCGAGTCCAGAGGATGTTATTATCACACCGCAGCCAACCAGATTGCGGTATTTGCCGATAAGAATGCCGGACAACCAATCACAAAGCGAGAACATAATAGGTCATGCCCTTTGGAAGCCTTCTCTCTCTCTCTCTCTCGGAAGCAGCTGCGAAGCACTGTGTCCAACTCCAGCCATTTGCTTTCCTTTAACCAGTTCAACCACTGAGGAAGGAGATTATCTGAGGTAGGGGTTTTCTGCAATGCCGAGCGCAACTTCTTCTGCTTCTTGCTCAGGGGTTGCATTGACATCAAAACGCCATGCTTTGATTGGCTCTGATTGAAAGGATAGTGGGTAGATTTCAATGCCAGCTGCCTTGACGTCTACCCACTATCATTCAAGTCGGAACCAATCAGAGCTTGCCGTTCTGACGTCACCGCGTAAGAAGCAGGCGAACTCGCGCTCCACATTGGTCAAATCGATCATACTGGGTGTATCAAGGAGTGGCCAGGCTCTTTAAATCGACCGCAAAATTCGGTTTCTTAACCTATCACGCTACGACTATGTGCAGCGTTGCCCAAAGATGGTGCATTTTTTTTTGTAAAATTTGCAAGGAGCGAACTTACCTGAGCAAAAAGTAAAGAAAGACAAAGGCTTAGCTCATATGGAAATGCGGCGAAGCCAAAGGTCTTCGAACAATACGGAGCCGTTTCGCACGGGAGAAAAGAGATGGCGCAAGCAGTCGCTATGCCAACTGCGCCAACCGCGATGAGCATACGGCGCCGAAAGCCGGCGTCTTTAGCAGACGATCTTTTCGACTCAAAAGTGGAGCGCGTTCCGCAGGCGGCGACAGTCGCAGAAACAAAAACAGGCGCGGTAACAACAAGGAACTGCAAAGCAGACGACAACGGTACCCCAAAAAGAAAAAGTCAAAATATCGTGACAATCCATTTTTCTAATCGATTATATGTCCATTCAATATGTTTCATCAGTAAGGATGATAAAATAATGCATTGGCAACTGATATCAGAAAAGCTCGCGCCGCTTTTGAGTCGAAAAGATCGTCTGCCAAAGACGCCTGCTTTCGGCGTCGTATGCTCGTTTGTTTGAGCAGCTGGCATCGCGACCGCTTGCGTCATCTCTTGTCTGCCGTGGGAAACGGGGCCGTATTGTTTGAAGATCTTTGGCTTCGCCGCATTTCCGTAGGAGCTAAGCCTTTTTCTTTCTTTGCGTTTTCCTTATGTAAAATCGTTCTCTGCAAATTTTACAAAAAAAAAAAAAAAAAGCACCATCTGTGGGCAACGCTGCACAAAGTCGTAGCACGATAGGTTAAGAAACCGAATCTTGCGGTCGATTTAAAAAGCCTGGCCACTCCTTGATACTCCCGCTATATAGACCCTTCAGCCTGCTTACAAACAGAAGCGGTCTCTTGTCTCCCAAGAAACTTCCGGTTGCTCCGCTTCGGCATGGCCTTCCGAGCCTGTTGGTGTCAAAATTTCGGGATAATCACGAAGGTGGGGATTTAGCAAGGTCCTTTGTTATGTTGCGCCATTGAACATATAAGAGGGGAATGGTTGTCTTACGGGAGAAATAAAAAAAAAAAATCATTAAATCTCTCGCTCATTGGTCCTTTAGCGAACCACCTGGAGAACGTCGTAAAATATGTCATGAACGTTACAAAAACCAGTGACGGTGGGGATGCTTAGTCTGCTCATTTGACCGGAAGTTCGCGGGGGCATAAATTGCCAAGAGGGCCTCCTCCCTGTTTGTTTACTCTCGTCCCAAGCCATCGTATCCGGTATGGGCGACGAAGAAAAGCACAAAACGCTTCAACCTGACAATAAAAAAATAAAAAAAATAGAGGTGACGCAAAACGAGAATGGGTGACGGTTTCTCAACTCACTGACGTCACGCACTGCGGTGACGCTGCTGTCCGTACTGCGCATGTGCGAACGCTTCACTTCTCCTTGATTTGGTCTCTGTGTGGGCAAAGCGGGCTTGTTTTGTAAACACTGGGCTGGTGCATACCCGGAGTGCCTACAATCGGCGTGGCGACGGCAAAACAACGATGATAACGCAGTGAATGCGAACGTTTGGAGAATTGTGTTTGTCCTTTGACCCTGTTGTCCCCCTTATCCGGGGATTATCTTCGTCAGTCGTCGGCAAAGCACTGTTTTCGCCCACACTGGGAGACATTCAAGATGGCGGCATATGTCGTTCTCGGCGCTTTTCAGCTTCGGATTTCTTATCGGCTTATGTCACAATCTCGTTGGCCGCGGAGCGTGGATAAGAACGGGGCGGGGGGGGGGGGGGGGGGGGGGGGGGGCAAGTTATATGATATTCTGCAAACGGCATGCGCAAAGCTCGTTCTATCAGCTCAATATACAAAGGTGACAGCGTTCAGAAGGTGATTGTTGAAGTGGTCTGTAGAAAAAGCTCCTCTATGTGTTTGTATTCGTCTTGCCAGCATATGCGGCAGTGAACGGGACCTTGGAAGCAAATGGTGGCGCAGCACGGAGATGAGCGGCCCTTAGAATCGAATGGCGGCGGAATACATGCTCGTGGCACGTGTTTTGCGCTTCACCTTTGTCTATTGCTATCGCGTTCCGTTGCCAAACGCCGGCGTCCAGCGTTCTGCGTTCGAACGGCGAGTGAAGACAAAGGAAGCTAGCTTTACGTTCACCAACTAAAATTTGGCAGGGACACTTAAGACTCCTTACGTGTAGGAATGGGAAAGACTTCCTACACGGGCAGGGCATTCCTACAAGCAGCACGCAACGTCTTCCTTTCGCACACGGCGCTCCGGCGGCGGCATCACGCTCCCTTACTGCGCATGCGCGGCGAACCCTGCCGGCCTGCATGACGGCTTCCCTGACGAAGCATTGCGTTGCCGCGCTTTTCTTTGTGTTTTATTTCTGAGGCGCGTCCCCTTTGACCTTGAGCGCACTCGCTGGCTTCCGGGACGAGGCATCTGCGTTGCTGCGCTTTTCTTTGTGTTTTATTGGGAACGGGAATCGGGCGCCTTTTTCTGCTTCAGCCTGGTCACAGACCACGACGGCTTCGCTCCGTGGGACAATAGCGAGTTTTAGTAGACCGTGTTTCCCGCTCCGCTAAGCCCCTCCGCTACCCGGAACTCTACAGCCAAGGCCATCGGCGCGCAGGCGCAGTGGCGATTTCTTCGTAGCGGAGGGCTAGCGGAGGGGGAAACACGGTCTACTAAAACTCCCTAGTAACGGTAATGCTGTCGCATTAATAGTCGGAGCATGGTTTTCTCGGCGCAGAAAGATTCTCGAAATACCCAGGCTTTACTCTTCCCAGCACGCTGATCTCTAAATTCAAAATAGGTATCGAGAAAATGGCCGATGAAAGGTTATGCCAAAACCAAAGTTAACATTTTCCCTCGCTCGTTTCGTCTCTTAAATGGGGGACATTTACTCGAGGCTGGCTCGAGGCATACGTGATGTGGTTGTAGTCCTCGCAGTGGATTGCTTCGTGGCGGCATCCCTGCTGCACCGCGCACAGTTTCCCGAAGTCGTTCGCACTCATGTTGGTCGAGCGGACGTCGATGTCGAAGAAGCCGTACAGCTGCGCCAGGACGCCCAACGGGTCGTCCGGGTCCTCGAAGGAGCACGACACCGTGCCGTTGATCTGTTCCCGGGAGTTGAACTCCAGCTGCGAGAGAGACCGAATGCGGCATACAGTATCAGAGGAGACGAGTGGCCCGCCCGTGACGTCATCGTTACAGGATCTCCGACCCGCCCCAAGCGGCAGAAGCGTGAACGCAGACAAGGGCTGCGCATGCGCAGTGCACGTTCGTCTGTGACTGCGCTCGTTGTGATGACACGCGGCGAGGCTGGCGCAAGCGAGAGGTGGCACCAGCACCTCTGGCACTGACGTGTGCGGAAAAGAGGGGAAGGGGGAGGCGGCGCGGGACCGTTGGACCGTTCCACTAGGAAGAGCTGAGGGCGAAACAATGCCCTCCCCCTCTTACCCAGTGCGTCGTCTGCTCCGCCAAGTGGGCTGTACTTATAGCATCCGGCTGACGTTCAAACTCGGTTTAAAATCGCGTCATCTTGGAAATTTAAAGCACAGATGCGCAGATTTTCATATGCAAGTTATTGTGTAATGCTGTGCTCGATAAAAAGACTAACCGGGTCCAATTGTGCTGTTACCTGTGTGCAAAATAAATAAATAAATAACTGGGAAAGGTTTGTCAGAGTGGCCGGTCTCTCTGGCGAGAAGTAAATCCGGTTGCTGTAGTTCGCACTGGTGTAGGTCTTTAGCAACAATGAGTGGAAGTCTGGAATAATAAATAAAAACGTGCTTTCCCGACGCAATAGACACAGCGGTTGAGGGTAGTACTGCCGGCTGACTCCACTGCTCGTGAAGTAACGGAACAAGTATACGCTAGTTGATCATTTACTGAAATAAAACAACAGAGCCCTATAGGATGATCTTGGAGTAGCCATATGAATATTGTAAAAACGCAAAACACTTGACAGTGGCAGCCACGAGCGAAAGTTCGATATTCGGTACAGGCTGTACCGAATATCGAACTCTCGCTTGTGGCTGCCATTGTCATTACCGGCGGGCTGTACCGTACAGCCCGCCGGTACGGCCTAAAGATGGAGAACGGCAACCTCCCGGTTTGTCGTCTGCTAGCGGAGTCGGGCGCGTTTCCTCTCTCTCGTTTTACCCCGCCGAACCTGCTGAACTTCCCGGGTGTGCGGAGAGGGCGCTCCGATCGAACAAAATGGCGCCTCCCTGAGAGCGCTAAATGGAATGGTCATACAGCGCGCTACAAAGAAATAAACAAGGTCAGAAATAGACAGTATAGACAAAACGATCGCTCGTCTTGTCTAGTGACCTGTCCTTGCAGAGGCGTCAGAATTACTTGGGAGATCGGGCGACAGGGGGAAAATTTCTTGTTTTCTTCCTCCTGTTGTTTACATTGCATCACTTAAACGGGGGAGGGGGGGGGGGGGGGGTTCACCGCTGTTCCGATGCCACTAATTGTTACTGTCCTTGTTTATTGAGCGCCGAGTATCACCAAGTTGTCAGCACCCGGCACCCGAGGACCGGACGGACCTGCGCCTCGTAGATGGTGAGCGGCGGTAGGATGAGGTTTCTCCGCGTGACAACGTGCGGGCGGAACTGGCAGGTGGTACCCAGAGGTTTGGGCCCGCAAAAGCTGGCCAGGTCGTTGAAGTTGATGAGAAAACTGATGGACAACCGGGCCCGGTTCACCGCCGCCGAGCAAGTATATATCACCGAGTCGCTGATGGTGGCCACGGGCTTCACGGCCATCATCCGGAAGTCGGGGACCTGCAAGAGCAAAGAGGACGTTCCAGACATGGACGTCCAGCGTCTCTAGAGTATATACGGCTTGCGCCGCAGCCGGCTGTCCATCTGGATCACGGATGTGTATCTCGAAAGCCCCTGCGGGTATACTGTCACGTCATGCGACACCACGACGTCATATCACGAGACTGTGACGTCAGGTGACCATGATGAAACGTGCATTACACACTCTGGATTGCTGGTCGTGGAATGCCTAGGCTGCAGGTTCAGACAGCGCACAACAGCACCGTTTTCTTCCGTTACAATAAGTCACTGAGGGACATTTCGTAGATCGTTTCTTCGGTCCTGCAACGCCCTCCGTAACCCGCTACGAGATCGGGAACTCTGCAGTCAAGGCCATCGCGGCGCGCAGGTGCAGTAGCGGCAGGCGTTAGCAACTTAGGCTTTCGTGGTTGATTAACATTTAGATATTTCTGTCCTTTGGCGGAACGCAATGACATATCCTATCTACATTTTGCCTCCTTTCATGAAAAGCGCGAGTCGGGCTACACTGCACCAAACGCCGAAGAGACGTCGACGAAAAGCGCCGTTGTGTGGTTTGGCAATCTTCCCCTCTTTCATTCTGTGCAAAAAGCGCCCGCCAAATACCGTGATTACACCGGCTGAAACGCGCGTAAATATGTTGAGAATACGTCCCATCTGGGTCGGCCTTACTTTCGTAACATAACGAAAGAACACGGGGCTGTGTGAACATATATCGTTAATAAGTATGAGCTCGTTCTGAGCCCGAGTGAACAACGCACTCAAATATTGCTTACTCTGGGTTAACATAAAAAAGCTAACAAAAAGACAGACGTGTCGCCAGTCATGTGGCATCCTCAGTACTGACAAAAAAAGAAGAACAGGAAAAACTCATACGATCTGCTTAGTTTCCGATAATTTTACCATACCTTGCTGCGTCGATAAAGAAAGACACATAAAAAAGTCAACATCTCCAAGAAGCGTATTCGTTGTGATCATAACGTGTTCTGCCTACTGGGAATAGTTTGGTGAATACCTTGTCGATGCCGAAATACCAATCCTTGAAAGCAGAGCACCAAGCCGCGTTCCCAATCACCACGATGCTGTAGAGGACGATGTTCTTGGCGCTCTTAGATGACATGTCTCTGCAGGCCATGGTTGAACGACCTTTGATCTGAATGATCAAGATAAATTTTATGACTTTTCAGAGCAACTTCCGCTAGAGGAGTGCGCTTGGTACTTTTCGCATTCCGTGGTAAGGCGCCAACGCTGGTCACAGATTGGACAGGACGATTGCGTCAAACGTTCGGTTTAAACACGACTCGAAGCCCAGCGGCGACGCATCACTCGTATCCAATCAGCGTCCAGCATCGGCTTACGCTGGTGACACAAAAATGTCAGCACTGCGGCCTTGTTCTTTAAGTGGTGTTAGTTTGTGACACTAGCGGTTAAGATAGAACTTACGTTACCTTAATCAAAACATGAAAAAATACCAATTTTTTTTTTTTTTTTTTTTTTCCAGTCGATGCCCACCTAAGCCTGATATTGTCAAAACAAGAAATGGCGTTGTGGGCCCCTCTAGGATTTATTTACCGTCAGAAACAAATCAATATTGTCTTTGTTGCTGCAAAGTATTTTTTCACTAATGCCATATGCGCCCGCAATGCCTCTTCTTGTTTTAACTATATTCGGCTTAGGTGGACGTCGGCCCAAAGAAATATTTGGTCTTTTTTTATATTTTGAACAAGTTAGGTAACCTCATGTTCTCAAACTTTTGCGTTATATTCCGACCAGTCACATTCTCAGGGAGTTCAGCTTCCCGCTATTAGGGGTTTAATTACGCGGGTAAAAAAACTAAATTATTTTCTTCGTTTTGTTTTAATGAGAAAACATTTTAGTGATCATGATTCTGTCAAAGACGTGTGCGTAGGACGAAGACTCTCGGTGGTTTAACTGAATGGCACAAAATCCACGAGGTGTTCCTACAATCCTGCTGAATGTATTTTGAAAATGGCGCGATAGTTCCGTGAATTGATCGATTTATATGCGGGACCGTCGGATCCACCCCATCGAACATGTTGGCGTGTTTGTTGGGTCGGTGAAGTCATCCGCTCAACGCGCGGCGGCGCGGCGTCCCCTTCTATAGGTGACATTCACTTGACGTCACTCGCTAGGTTCGCTGGCATCGCCCACCACGGTCGCCATCTTCGAGGTCTCTTTCTATCGCGGGTGTCGTATGGCCGGACCTTTTGAGCGTGGTTTAGCAGCATTTTACAACTTTAAAGAGCCTTTTTAACCGAAACTAGGGGTTATTCTTATACTTTGATGTTTTTGAAGCGCCGTAGCAGTATTTTTTGTGTGTTTTAGTTCGTTTTTGTCGCTATCGGACTCGTTCACCGCGGCCGCGTTGCCCCCTCGGCTCCATGAAGCGCTCCGTGTCGCGCGCCGTGCCCACGGCGGTAGCTCTTGCAAGAACTGATTTTTCTACTTTGGTGATTTTGTAGCACGGTGTGATTACTCTGTTTTGTTTTGCTAGTTTCTTTATTGTTTTTCTCTAGCGGATTTGCTGCACTACGGCCGTGTAACCGCGTTGCTCCATCGCCTCTGTGTCGTACATACGTCCTGCCTTCGGTGTTCGTTCCTGTGCAAAGACATACCGTGCGGCTCACAGAGTGCGCAGCTTATGAAAGATGCGGCGCATTTTTCATTAGCCCTAGCGATTTAAAAACCGCATGTAAGCGATTTGGCGAGCGGCGAGACAAGCGACGGTGACCCGCTTCGCTGCCGCGAGGCAAACCGCATGAAAGCGACGGGAGCAAACGACCAAGGCGATGAGCACTAAGTTTTCTAAAAATCCCAAAACAGAGCTACGCGACGAGCGACAGTGAGGCGTGAACCGCATGTATGCGATTTAGCGAGCGGCGACGAGTGACGGAGATTTCTCACGGTCGGTTGTCGCTCGGTTTTTGGATTTCTATAAAACGCCGCTGATCGCCTTGGTCGCTTGCTCCCGTCGTTTTCACGCGGCTTGTCTCGTCGCGCAAGTGACCGAGCGACAGCGAAGCGGGTCGTCGTCGCTTCAGTCGTGGCTGTCGCTCGTCTCGTCTCATCGCTCGCTTACATGCGGTTCAGCCTTTACACACGCGGTACTCGGCGGCAACAAGAAAACTAAAACGGCCCGCCCCCGAGATAAACCTCTTTCTTTCTTGTTCAACGAAAGCTCCTTCAACGATATAAAATTGTATGACCGCGTAGCCAAGCCAGTCAAACCGCGACCTCGAAGATGGCGAATCGACGGTGGCGCTCCCTGGCAAAATTGAACCTGCAGGCTCAGTGAATACCACCTATACTCCCTCGCAGACCTGGCTCTCTCGGCGTCCAGCACTTCAGCTTCCACCGACGTTACAAGATTACCTCAGTTGTGTAACTCCCGCGGAAGGGGTACCCCCCTCACTCACTCCAGTTCGCCTCCCGTCGTTCGAAGCGCCATCTAGATTTTTGTTTCGAAACTGTGTGTTCAATAGAGTACAGTGGAGCGCCATCTAGACGCTGCGCTTCGAAACGTAGGTATCCCATAGAATACACTGCAGTTGCCAAAGCAGCCGTCCGGCGCGTCGAGCGACGGGAGGTGAGTCGTGGTGAGTGAGGGGGGGGGGGGGGGGGGGGGAACCGCTTGTGCAAGCAGCGTCTATGAGCATTTCCGTAACTGAGCTAATCAAATAACGTCGGCTTCCGCGTTTCGAGCGCGCAATTTTTAGAAGGTGATGTCTACGGCATCACTCGCTTCGTTGGAAGCATCGACACTTTTCGCAGTTACGATATGAGTCACGTTATATTTATTTATTTATTTATTCGGTGGGCCCTTTACAGGGTCTTTACAGGAAATGGTAATACATACAAGATGAAAAAGAACAATCATGATCAGACCCTTCAAAAAAGTGATTCGCCCGGAAATATAACAAACCAAAAGACATAAATTCAAAGCACAAAGTCATGCCACATTGTCAAGCACTATACTCTTTATACTTTTAACAAAAATACAGACATTTGTCATATCGACGGCGGAGTTAGGGAGTTTTTTCCATTCCTTTATCGCCCTTGGAAGGAAACTAAGTTTAAAACAATATTTTTGAGAAATTCCCTGATGCGCATGCTATGACGATGTGTCGAACATTCACTGACGCGTACGTCTATGTATTTATTTTGTCTGCCTTAACTAGACCGTGAATAATTAAAAAAAAGATTAATTTCAGGCGGTCACACTCTGTTTTCAATTCAAGAGAAAGATGTTCAGCAAATCTACAGAGTTCGGTGGGAGAATGGCTACGATTATATTTATTAGAGAGAAACCTGGAAGCAAGCAGATGGAATTTATCAAGTTTCGACGAGTTAGCTACTGCGTGTGGATGCCACGCTATTTTTGCGTACTCAAGAACAGGTCTAACCAGTGTTTTGTAAGCTAATGTTTTTGTTTCTGGCGAAGCGCTGGCAAGATTTCTTCCGAGGTACCAGAGTGCCTGGTTAGCCTTTCTGGATACTTTTTCCGCGTGGGCGTTCCATCGTAAGTCGCTTGGGAAGGTTACTCCTAAGTACTTACTTTCTAAAGTACTTACTTTAGAAAATGGTTTTTTTTTGTTAATTGACATAACGACCGATTTTCGAGGGTCTAACTCCATTTGCAACTGGCCGCTCCAATGTTTGAATTTGAGTTCATTTTGCAGTTTTAGTTGATCTTGTTCAGTTTCGATTTTATTGTACAAAATAGAATCATCAGCAAACAGCTTAACTGCATGGAACTGATATTCTGCAGCGTGTGATGTCTATAAATATTAAAAATAGAAGCGGTCCTAGCACACTATACCTTGTGGCACTCCAGAAGCAACTGGAGCGGGTCTAGACACACAACCTCCCGAGTGAACGAATTGAGCTCTCGAAGAAAGATACGAGCAAAACCAGTTTGTAATTCCGGGGTTCTTTAACAGGGCTTTAATTTT